GGCTCTACACGCTCTGCGCCTGATAGATTAGTGGGGCGATCAGCTAAATTTCGAGAGATGCTGGAGCTCATCGAGCGCAGCGCACCCAGCAACGCCACAGCAATGTTGTTAGGCGAATCCGGAACGGGCAAGGAACTCGTGGCGCAAACCATCCACCGCTTAAGTAATCGAAGTAGCCAACCTTTTGTGCCGGTAGAATGCACCGGGCTACCGCAATCATTATTCGAAAGCGAACTGTTCGGATATGTTAAAGGCGCGTTTACAGGCGCAAGCACAAACAAAACCGGATTGGTTGCCGCAGCACAAGGCGGCACACTCTTCCTGGACGAGGTGGGAGATATTCCCCTCAGCGAACAGGTAAAGCTGCTGCGCCTGCTGGAAACAAGACGCTATCGACCCGTTGGAAGCAGCGATCAACAGGAAGCGGATTTCCGCCTTATCTGCGCGACCAACAAAGATCTACACGCCATGATGCAGAGCGGCCTGTTTCGAGAAGACCTGTACTATCGCCTCAGAGTTTTTGATATCACCCTGCCCGCGCTGAGAGAGCGCGAAGACGATCTGGAACTTTTGATTGATACGCTGAAAGCCCGCCTGGGTATAACAGATATTTCCTTCGATAAAGAAGCCCTGAACTGCCTGAAGACATATGCCTTCCCGGGAAACATCAGAGAATTGCGCAATATCATTGAACGCGCTTCGCTTCTGACAACCGATGGTAAGGTTGGGCTACGCCACCTACCCGAACAGTGCACTGCGCATCCAGCGCCGCAACGCGACAACAACAGAACAGAACATGCGGCGATCATGACGCTGCAAGCCGCCGAACAGCAATATCTTCAGCAAGCCATCAACGCCAACCAGGGCGACCGCAAACAACTCGCAAAACAACTCGGTATCAGCGAGCGGGTGTTATATCGCAAACTCGCCGAACTTCGTTCAAGCTGAGGAAGCCCGAACACTACATCGAGTGTGCAGCGACGCGATCCCCGTAAATAGTTGCGTTTACCTCCGGGTCGCCCACTACGCCGGGGCTGAATTCATAAACAAAAACACCCATGATACGCAGCGTGTCTCCCTCAACCGGGGTAACCCGGTGCAGTGAATTACATCCTTTGAAGATACATAAAGCGCCAGGCTCACGCCCCACAGAGACAATGCTATCGTCCCGCTCGCCCTGCAGAACCGCACCAACATGTGCGTAGTTCTGGTCGGTATCTGTGCGGGTATCAGGCGACATCTGGAACTCCCCCCCGACTTTTGAGGGCTGAATCATCAGCGTCATGGTAAAAGAGTTATCTGCATCAAAGTGCCAGGAAGATTCATCCCCGGACTGATAACAAACATAGTTCGCTGGTTGATACGGATCTTCGTTGTCAAACAGATCACCTTCATTGACGATCTCTTTAACAAGCTGTCTAACGCTTTGAGAATGATAGAACGACTTCAACACGGAATCTTCAGCCAGCTGGTCATAAGCAATCATGCGCACACTGGAGCGATCCTGCAGATTACGCGCATGATCAGCAGGTAATTCTGGATCCTGCTGACGGTGAAGGTAGCAGTTTCTCAGCGAGTTATTATGGTTAGCATAGGGCTGCAGATTGATCGCCTCTTCGGCCATTGCAGCCAGAGCCTGCCTGGTCACAAAATCAGGCAATACGCAGTAAAGGTTATCTTCAAGCTCCCTGCGACAGCGTTCGATGAGTGCCGCTCGAGGCGTATTTTCCCCATCGATTATCGGGTAAACCTGCGTATTAATGATTTCGTCTATATTGCGTGCCCCAGCCATTTCCGCCTCCCCTGCAGAGCTAATTCAGGGATTAAGGTAGCACATGACACCCCGACCAGACACCAACCTTCGACCGCAGGAACTGAACACAAGGCAGAGACTATTGATCTTTAGTTTTCAAGTGGTCATACAAGTGAACGACATTTCTACCGTTGTCTTTTGCCTGATAGACAGCCTCGTCCGCAAACTTTATAAGCTGATTCAAGTCGTTGGGGCGCTGGGAGGTAGACGCAATACCAATACTGATACTCAGTTCTATCCGAGCACCATTGCTCATTTCGTAAGGTGTGCTATTCAGAGCAACACACATCCGTTCAGCGATGATCTGAGCGTGCTTTAACGCGCAGCCTGGAAGTCCAACGACAAACTCTTCATCACCCAGCTCATGTCCATATTGGTCATTCACCCGTTTAAAGTAATCTACATTGATAAACAGAATCGAGAGGTCTTCGCTCTCGCCGCACCGTTCGTACTCAACCTCAAACTCCTGAACCAGCATATTCCTGTTAGCTATGCCCGTAACCGGGTCTTTAGTTGCTATCTGCCGCAACTGCTGGCGCGCGCGGAAAAGCTCTTCTTCAGCTCGGATTCTGGATTCCGTATTCTGATGGGCGGCAATCAGGGTGCCTAGCGCATTCACCAGCAGCCTTATCTGATCCACGATGTCTTCGTCGTAACCCTCAAGCCGACCTGCCACGCCGGCCATACCCAGCAATTTGGAACCGGAATAGATTGGCATACCCAGATAACGATCCAGCGATGGATGGCCCTTCGGCAGCCCGCCTCTGCGGGAATCATTCGATGGCTCATTGGCAATCACCATCTGCCCCGAGCGAATGGTTACGCCAAACAGCGAGTCGAGGTTTCTGAATTCGAGACCTTCACGCACATTCTTACGATAGAATTCACGAGTTTCTCTGCTCCACGCAATGTTTGTTATTGCATGTGTCTTTAGATAAGGCACATTTTCATCGTGCAGAATCTCACCGATAAAACCGTAAGTCCTTTCTGTGACTTCCAAAACATCTTCAAGCGCAGTGTTTTCATCGTGAGTCGAAAACCAGTTGCACGACTGAGCATAGACATCCGCCAGAAGAGCCGCCTGAAATAACGGGACCCGATTAACGTTCACTGACATTTTCCGAGGAAGCAAAAGCAGGCCCGTTCACGCAACGTTTACGTTCAATATGAGGTGATGCTTACGTGAAAAGAAACTTTGCACCACCGCCACCCATTGCCCTGCTTCAGGAAGCGCTCACGCCACTGCAGTTCTCGCTTCTCATGTTGCAGGCACCGTCACTGGCCCAGGCGCCGAAAGGTCGAGATGAACGAGTGCTGGTATGGCCCGGTTTTGGCGCTGGCAACTCATCAACAATCTTATTGCGCAGCTATCTGAGCTTTCTCGGCTACCGCCCGCAGGGCTGGTCGCTGGGCACCAACAGTGGCGACGTGCTCACCACCCTTGAACAACTCAAAGCGGATCTCCTGGCAGAACCATCGTCTGAACCCGTCTATCTTGTTGGCTGGAGCCTGGGCGGATATCTGGCCCGAGAAGTCGCACGGGAATGTCCCGAAAAGGTAAAACACGTGGTGACACTAGGCAGTCCGGTGGTCGGTGGACCAAAGTACACCTCCGTAGCTGGCGCATTTTCGCAGCGGGGAGCGTCAATAGATGAAATCGAACGACTGGTTGATGCCCGCTATGACGTACCACTGAAGGTTCCTGTTACGGCCATCTATTCAAAAGCCGATGGCGTTGTCACCTGGGAGGCTTGTATCGACCATCGCAGCCCCGACGTTGAGCATATTGAAGTGTTCAGTTCACACACAGGGCTTGGCTTCTCCCCCCAGGCTTACCACATCCTCGCAGATCGTCTTGCTGCCAGCGGCAAAGCCAATGGAAAATAGTGGCGACAGAATTGAGGTGGCGCTTTTTCCAATTCCAAACGTGGTTGCTTTCCCCGGGGTCAACTTACCCTTACATGTGTTCGAACCTCGATACCGCCAGCTGATCAACGATTGCGTCAGCAAAAACAGATTGGTTGGCGTCAGCCACACGTTAAAAACAATACATCAGCCCGCAAAGCAGCAGACTCTGGAACAGGCTTTGAGTTCAAATCAGGCAACATATAAACCACAAGAAATATTCTCAGCCGGCGCTTGCGAAATCCTGGAGACGACTTCTGATGGACGTATTATTGCCAACGTTGCAATCAGCAAACGGCTCAGTTTAGTCGAAGAGATTCAGTCCCTTCCCTATCGCATCGTTGCCTGCACAGAACATCTGGATAATGCCTCTCAGACACCTGCTGAGGATTCTGCTCTACAGGCAACCATCAACACACGACTGATTGAAATTGTGGGTAGCGAACAGGCGGAACTGGCGCAGTCACTTCGCGACCCCGCCTGGAAAAATCTTCCACCAGACGAGTACAGCTTCAGAATTTTTCAGTTTTTACGTTTCGACGCAGATCTCATGCAGATGATTCTGGAAGCGCAAAGCGTTAAGACCCGCCTTGAAATGATATGGGACCTTCTCCGTCCCACATAAAAAAAGAGTGCGCTTCCAGCCGACGGTCTAGATTGCTTTCCAGTAGAGATACGGGTAGTTCACGTACTGGCACTCACATTCTTCATAGCCTTGCGCCTCAAAATAGGACGTTGCCACCCGCTGCGCTTTCACCAGGAGCCCTTCACAACCCAGTTCGCGAGCGTGATCAGCTGCCGTTTGCTGTAACGCTATGCCAACACCCGTTCTTTGAGCATCAGCATGAACGTAGAGGCCATGCAGCAGCGCGCAGCGTGTGCCATGTTTACCCTTCAAGCCGGCGTCTCTACTCAACACTGCCACGCCATTCACGCTGCCGTTGTGATCGTGGAGAAAGAACTCGAACTCTGCCAGATCCTCTGCGGTATATTGCAGAATCGGTAGAGCGAGGCGTTTCAGGCGGTCGGGAAACTGCCAGCTCTCAACCGCAGAGGTGATGATGCTGTTGATCAAAACAAGATCTGTAACAGCAACGTTTTTCACCCCACCCTGTCGATCCGCAGGCTGCTGACTACTTTTAGCTATAATTAGACTTTTATTAGACATTTTTGGATTATAAAGAATTATTATTAGATATCGGGCCATAAAGGGTAGATAATCGAAGTATTAGATCATTCTAGTCCCATTTTTGTCTAATTTAATTTTTTAAAGGTAATCACTATGAAATTTGAAACAAGTCGTCGGAACTTCATACGGAAATCCGCACTCATCGCTGTTGCGCCCGCCGTGGGCTACACAAACTTTGCTAACGCTGAAGAGGTTTTGATAGACGAGGCAGACCCGGCCGCTGCTGCGCTGGGATACAAACACGTCGCCGCCGAAGTTGACGTAGCCAAGTATCCGAAAAAGGCTGGAGCAGAAGGCGCCAAGCAGTTGTGTCTGAACTGTTCACTCTACCAGCCCAAAACAGACGCATTAGGCGGCTGTCAGATCTTCCCCGGCAAAAACGTTGCCGCAGGTGGATGGTGTAACGTATGGGCGCCAAAAGCCTGATCAAAGACTCCTCGTTCGATCTTGCTGTGCGGCGAAAAAACTACCGCACAGCAATCGTCTTGGGAATTTCCCACCGATGACCGATTGATATTTCCTGCCACTGCCCTCTAAACCTTTGTAATCAGACATAAATACATCTGGCCGCCAAGGTTGTAGACCCCATGAAATACCTGATCCCCCTGCTGCTGCTCCTGGCAGGGACCAGCACTGCGCTGGCTAACGACAAATATGAGCCACCGCGCATGGCCAACGGCAAGCCAGACTTTAATGGCGTCTGGCAGGTGATGAATCGTGCCAACTTCAATCTGGAGCCCCACGGTCCGGAAGCAGCGCTGGCACTTCGTGATGGCCCCATAGTTCCGGTGCCCGCCGCGGAAGTGATCGCCCTGGGCGCCGTTGGCGCTGTACCTGCAAGCCTGGGCGTTGTGCTGGATGGACCGATCCCCTATACCCGCAAAGCACGCAAGCAGCGAGACAAGAACAAAGCTGCCTGGTTGCAGTCTGACCCTGAAATAAAATGCTATCTACCTGGCGTACCTCGCGCCAACTACATGGACTTTGGTTTCCAGATCTTCCATAACACCGACGCGCTGGTCTTCTCCTACGAATACGCCGGCGCTGTCCGCAACATTCACCTGACCGACCCTGGCCCTGCGCCTATAGACAGCTGGATGGGGCAGTCGTGGATGCACTGGGAAGGCGACACCATGATCATAGAAACCACCGGATTCAACGGCCAGACCTGGCTGGATAGAGCAGGCAATCACCACACCGACAAGCTAAAGGTTATTGAACGTTTCACATTACTCAGCCCTCACGTCATGGACTATGAGGCCACGCTTGAAGACCCCAATGTTTATTCCCGACCGTGGACGATCAAAATGCCGATCTATAAAAGAGTGCCCCCGGACGATCGACTCATGCAGTTCAACTGCGTCGAGTTTGTTGAAGAACTCATGTACGGCCACCTGCGCAAGCGGCCACTGGATTAATCATTATGCAGAAAAAGTATCTTGGGATTGGTTTACTGTTAGCAGCCGTCACACTGAAAAGCGCGCTTGCACATCATGCTTTTTCCGCCGAATTTGATGCAGAAGCACCGATCTCCGTGCGTGGTCATGTTACAAAAATTGAATGGATCAACCCGCACGCCTGGATTCACCTGGCAGCGGATCAGGAAGATGGCAGCGTTGTCGACTGGATGTTTGAAGGCGGCACGCCAAACACCCTGGTCCGCTCAGGCATAGACCGCAACTCTCTGGCCATCGGCACTGAAATTGTCGTCCGCGGCTACCAGAGCAAAGACCGCAACTGCACACCTGCCTGCAAAGCCAACGGTCGCGACCTGGCATTCACAGATGGGCGTAAAGTTTTTATGGGTTCTTCAGGCACCGGCGCACCAAAAGACGGCCTGGATCCACGCGAGGGTTAGATGCACATCACAAAACCGCTGTTCTGCGCTGCCTTTCTGATTTCGTCCTGTTCATGTCTGGCCCAGGACTGGCAAGTGCCGCGCATGGACTGGGGCGACCCTGATCTGCAGGGCGTCTGGACCAACGCAACTGTCACCGGCCTGGAACGTCTGCCCGGCTTCAACTCGCTGGTGATCAGCGAAGCACAGGCACGCAGACTGGAACAGCGAGACGCGCAAAATTCGGACGAGATCGATAACTTACCCGACGGTGATCTGCCAAGCGGTGAAATTGTTGGCGGCTACAACACTGCCTGGCTGGATCGCGGCACCCATTTGCTGCGGGTAAAAGGCGAGCCACGAACCTCCATCATCATCGAGCCTGCAAACGGCAAAGTGCCTTACACAATTACCGGTTGGCGAAAGTACTGGTGGAAGCTGATCAACAGCCAGAAACGCAACAATCCGGAAGAACAACTGACCGGCGACCGCTGCCTGGTGGGTTACGGCTCGACAGGCGGACCGCCGATGCTACCCGTGCTTTACAACAACAACTACCGGATCGTGCAGACGCCAGGTCAGGTCATGATTCTGGTCGAGATGAACCATGCCGTGAGAACAATTCGCATCAACGGTGAGCCGCTGCCACCCCAGATCAGACCGTGGCTCGGTGATTCTATCGGTCACTGGGAGGGTGACACGCTGGTTGTGGAGACGACGCAGTTTCATCCTGATCAAAGCATGCGCGGCGCTATCAAACACCAGCTGTATGTTGGCAAAGACAGCATAGTGACTGAACGCTTCACCCGCGTCGGTGAACAGGAAATTCACTATGCATTCAGCGTAGAAGACAGCAAGATCTATAGACAACCCTGGCGCGGCGAACTGACGTTCACCCCAAGCAATGGTGATATATACGAATACGCCTGCCATGAAGGCAACTATGGCATGGCCAACATGCTTGCAGGCGAGCGGGCTCAGGGTAAAAACGGCTTACGCTGGCTATGGGGTTTGATGACCAACATGCCAGAAGAAGTCAGCCACCCACAGCTGAGCAGCTCGAGATTTAAAGACTAGTACAAAAGAATCGTTACAGCCCGTCGTCCATGCGGTAAGCCCGCATCGCCGCACCTGCAAACAGATCTTTCTTCTCCGCAGGAGAAAGATCTGCCGCTAACCGTTTAAAAGCATTCCAGCAGACCTGATAGCTGCACCACCGTTTCTGCACAGGAAAGTTAGACTCAAACATCGCCCGGGATGGCGAAAAGGCTTCAATACAAAAATCGATCCAGCGTTGCCAGGCAGCCGCCACTTCCATAGATCCAGGCGGCAGACTGCGGTCTCCTGAGTAACCCGGCATACGTATCGGCAGCGCCCCAAGTTTTACAAACACATTCTGCCGTTTGGCAACTTGTTGAATCGCATCACACCACGCGTCGAATACTTCATCCGTCTTACCCTGGTAGGGACCACCCAGAATCGGACTGCCAACATGGTTGAGCACAATCGTCAGATCAGGATGTTCGTCTGCCAGTGCCGCCACTTCTGTCAGCTGCGTGTGGTACACCCAGCAATCCAGGGTCATATCCATACGAGTAAGCACTTTTGCCACAGCGCTGACCTGCGGACTCAGCAGCAGCTGTGCAACTGGAGAAACATTATGAATGGCATCATCAGAATGCCAGCCACTGGAAATTCTGATGCCGCGAAACCTGCCCCCTGAAACATCAACATGTTTTTCTAACAGGGGTTCAACCTGCGCCCCTAACATCACGTCCACATTGCCAAACATGACATCGCACGCCCGCGCAGAGCCAAATTCACCGCTGGCGCTCATGGCCGCCTGGCCACGAACAAACTCAGTTTCACCAAGAGAACGTTCTTCCAGGGGCCCACCCTGGCGGTACATGGAGTGACATTCCGCGAAGACCGAGGCAACAATGTTGTGACCACTGGACATATCTGCCGCCAGTTCGGGCAACAGATAGGTATAGCCGTTACGTAACCACAGGTGATGGTGGGGGTCGACAATGGCAATATCAGGCTCCAGGATATTTTCCTGCAGCCCACTCAACCATTCATCATCCGGCGCTGTCTGCCCGGTGTTAGCCGCCAATGTTATTCCAGATCTAACGGTCGGTAATAATCTTTACCGGCTTGCGTGAACTCGGTACGGAACTTCATGAATGATTCACCCGCGGATCCCTCTGCCGAAAGGGTCAGGTCCTGACGGAAGAAATTAATACTGTCAGGGTGCAGGGTGCGCGCCATTAACCAGTAATGCTCCGCTTTTTCCGCATGACCTTTTTCACGGAAAAAGTTGCCTAACCGAAAAGCGGCTTCAGCCTGCTCCTGTTCCGGCGTCCGCTTGCGAATATTTTCAGTCACAGTCGCCGCAGCTTGAACGTACTGGCTTGCAGCGCCGTTGCGCACCCAATCCTTCAGTGCCGGTGCATAAGCATCCGTCCCACCAAAAGGATGGGTTTTGGCGTAGGTGCCTTCATCGACACGCACGATCCTGCCCGTCTCATCAACCCAGGCGGCCGACGGTACGTTGACGAAATTGAACGCGCTGCTGATGGCATGGTTCACATCCACAATCTGGATATAACTGGCTTTGGCCGCATCAAAAATTGGACCCGCAACGGCTTCTCCGCCGGTATCTTGAGCTGCGGAGATGATGACAAAATCGGGGTCGTTTAATTCTTCATATATGGATTGCCACACGGACACATCAAGTTGGCAGCCTCACCAGGACGACCAGGTAATAATCAGCGCCTTCTTACCTTTGAAGTCAGACATTCTAACGACATTACCCTGCCGATCTGGAATTTCAAATTCAGGTACTTGTGCATTGGCAAACATAGACTGCCGAGTTGCCGGCATCTCCCCAAAGCTCCAGACCCGAGCATCTTCGTCAACAACGTAGGCCTGCTCCATCAAATCCGCAAACGCGGTAGCGTTGACCCACTGTTGACCATCAACTGTTTTCAGCAGATCGGTATCCTGTTTCAAGGGGATACATAACTCATCAAGACAGGCACCCTCAGGCTTAAGAACAAATCCATTGATCTGGGTCAGATCTTCCGGCAGCACCCATAGCCCCGCCCCTGGTTGAATGCGCTCTAAGACGACAACTTTGTCACGGACAAGAACGGTGGCGCCTTTTTCCGGACCAATACCTACTTTCTTGTAGGGGTTACGCAGGTCCGGGTGAGCCATGATTGCGGGGGGCATAGATTCTCCTCGTTGAGGTGCGAATTAACTAAACAAATGACCTAAAGCATAACAAGAAAATGCAGCCCTGGTTCACTTACCATCTGCGGGCGGATTCGAACCCAGACGCTCGATAACATCCAACAGCACACCAGGCAGCGGGAACACGATGGTAGAGCTCTTTTCTCCCGCAATTTCCGTCAATGTCTGCAGATAGCGCAACTGCATGGCGCCGTTTTCCTGAGATAACAGCTTTGCAGCTTCCACCAGCTTGCCAGCGGCCTGCTCTTCTCCGTTGGCATGAATCACTTTGGCTCGACGCACGCGCTCTGCTTCCGCCTGTTTGGCGATGGCGCGAATCATACTTTCATCGATATCGACGTGTTTAATTTCGACGTTAGAAACTTTTATGCCCCACTGGTCTGTCTGCTGATCGAGGATTTCCTGAATATCGTGATTGAGTCGCTCACGCTGCGCTAACAGTTCGTCCAACTCATGCTGACCGAGCACAGAACGCAACGTGGTTTGAGCTAACTGGCCGGTAGCTTCCATGAAGTTCTCAACATTTATGATGGCCCGCTCAGGATCCACGACCCGGAAGTAAAGTACGGCATTCACTTTGACTGAGACATTATCTTTCGTGATCAGGTCCTGGGTGGGTATATCCGATACCACCGTGCGCAAATCAACGCGCATCATCTGCTGCAGAACAGGAATGATGATCACCAGACCGGGGCCTTTAACCCGATAGAATCGACCCAGCATAAACACCACACCGCGCTCATATTCACGCAGAATTCTGAATGCGGAAAAGAGCAGGCCAAGCACCACAGTGATGATGACAATAGTAAAAATTTCCATCTCTAAGTCTCCTCGCTGACCTCTAAAACAAGCCCCTCAACGGCGTCCACACGGACGTCATCCCCTTCAGAAAAAGCGTTGCGGCTGCGCGCCCGCCAGGACTCCCCAAAAGCCCACACCTGACCCTGAAAAACATCTTCGTGCGGGGTGAAAGTTCGTGTAACAGTGGCGTGCCCGCCAATCATGGCTTCCATACCGGAAACAATTTTCTGCGCGCGGGCGCGCATGGCCATGCCGACAATAAAAAATATCGCCAGGCCGGTGGTTACAGCAAACGAAACGATGATCGTGACAGGTAGCTGGTAACCTGGTACCTCGCTGTCGAACATCATCATGGAACCCAGGACAAACGCGATAACTCCACCGACGCCCAGAATGCCAACGGTGGGGCTGACCACTTCAGCAACCATCAGTGCCACACCTACCCCTACCAGCGCCAGGCCAACATAATTTACCGGCAGCAACTGCAATCCATATGCACCCAGAAGAATACAGATAAGACCTGTTACTGCTGGTATGAACAACCCGGGATTATAAAACTCAAGCATCAGCGCATAAAGGCCCACGATGAGCAAACCATAGGCAATGCTCGGGTCGGTAATGGTCGCGAGCAGGTCGTGACGCCAGTCAGACTCAACAATATGGATTGAAGCGCCAGCTGTATCGAGAGTGACTTCATCGCCGTCTGCGATCACCACCTGACCATCAATCAGGTTCAACAAAGACTCAAGGTCCTTGGCCACAAAATCAATGACATTCATCTCAAGGGCGACCGACGCGCGTAGATTTGCGCCTTCGCGCACCGTCTTCTCAGCCCACTCGAGATTACGTCCACGCAGTTCAGCCAGCCCCTGCAGATAAGCCACAGCATCGTTGACCACTTTTCTACCCATGGCATCCGTAGGCATCACGCTGGGGGCTGGGGGCGAGGATGCGTCCTCGTCGTCCTCTACCGGCGCTCCCGGTTGTGCAGGTGCTTCGGCGGGCAAACCTTGCGGGGCTATACTGACCGGTGTTGATGAGCCAATGTTAGTCGCAGGCGCCATTACAGCAATATGGCTGGCGTAGCTGATGTACGTACCTGCACTCGCAGCACGGGCGCCGTTTGGCGCAACGTAGGAGATAACTGGAATCGGGCTGGCCAGAATAGCCTGCACCAGGTCTCGCATCGCTTTGTCCAGCCCGCCAGGCGTATCCATGCGAACAATGAGCGCGTGAGCACCAGTCTCGTCAGCATCCTCAATGCTGCGAATCACAAGGTCAACACTGGCGGGGCCGACAGAACCCTTCAAATCGACGAGCCAAACCTCTTCAGCAGACGCTGTCGACGATGCCAGGACAGCCCAGAACAGCAACGCGATGATACTAAATGACAGGAATAACTGGCGCATACCTGTGATATTACGCCGCCGGCAAGAGAATACCAGGCCCTCAAGTTCGGGACGGTTGCACGCCTTCTGCTAGAAAGATGAGATGCCACTGAATTCCATAAACCGATAGAGTCCGCGACGCCACAACGACCCATCTTTGTAGTGGCTGTAATCAACAGAGTAGTGGCGGTTATCGGTATTAAGCCAGGCATCGTCAAAATAGACCTGCGCATCGGTAATCGACGCATGTGCAGTAGTACCGGTGACCACCACGTTTGTTTCCAGATTGAAGTTATCAAGATTGCGCCGGGTCAAATTTGCGGATCCGGATATGAGAGTGGCACGATCCGCCTGCCCGCTTACTAACAACATCTTTGCGTGACATTGCTCACCTTGTGTGTAACACCATCTGACATCGACCCCGGCCTTGACCAGTTCGGAGGCGACCAACCGGTTCGGAATACCGTTCTTTTCCCGGCCGAAAGCATCTTTGTTCGGATCTAACAGGACGCGTAAAGAAGCCCCGCGCTGATGCGCCATCTTCAGCGCTTTGACAATGGCGCGATCAGACAGATAGAACATCATTAAATCTACATTATCCCCAGCCCCAGCGGCCTGCAGTTGAGATAAGTAAGCATCTTTGATTTTGCGCTCGGTGACGATCTGTATCGTAGGCGCAGTCTCAGCGTCCGGTATTGATTTCAACGCAAGCTCAAAAGGAATTTCAGGCTCACCAGATAGGGCCAGCACTGCATTTTCTGTGGTCAGCAGATCGACGGCTGCAGCGCCAGAAAAGCGAACCGCAGCGTTGCGGTGTGCACTACTGCCATCATGTGGATTGGCAGAAGTGACAAAACCGACATAGCTGTCCCCCTGGTCAGCTATCAGTACTTTCCTATGGTTCGCCTTGAAATTCACCAACTCCAAATAGGTTCTCAAGGAGACGCGACCCGGACCCACGGGGTTAGGCAGTGTCGATGCCGTTGCATTACCAAACGGTTTGATAAAGATGCGCCAGAAAAAAGAATAAACCGTGTTGCTGTCGCGCAACCGCCGCAAATCTGTGATCACGACCGGAATGTCCGCCGCTTCCAGCTGTTCAAATTGAGCGGAGGGCAAACCGCCGTAGAGCGTGTTCAGTGGATCTGTAATCACAATGATGTTGATATCGGGCACTTGCGCTTTACGAGCGATAAGCGCTTCGGTCAATTCGCTGGACAGCGCGCGCGTTGTTTCCGGAACGGGTCCCTGAAAGTCGTTGTAGAGGAACATATCCAGCACGATCAGTTTTTCAGCATCCGCAATTATCTGAAACAGATCATCAAAAATAGTCTGCTCAACCTGGCGCTGTCCATTTTCGTCTACCCAGGTTGAATCCGATAAAAATACAACTTCTTCTGCAGGTCTATGCGGACCTTGATACGAAATGCCCTCCGGCAAAGGCTTAAAGCTGTGACACCCCATCAAAATCAGGGGCATGGTAAACATTTGTAATATGCGGACAATTTTTGCAGTTTTTCTATTTCCATAGCTTGTCATTTTGAGCCGGACGTCTCTCATTTTATGTGCAACTATATGATGCCATCAAAACTGTATTATCGTTGAGCCTCAGCAGAGAAATATTTCACGGAGAAACCATGCTAAAAACTAAACCCATCTGCTGGATAGTTCTGTTATTGGCTTTGACGTCTCCGCTTTGCGTGCAGGCTGACCAGCCGAACATAGTCTTTATCCTCACCGACGATCAGCGTTACGATGAAATGGGCTTTCTAAACCCCATTCTGCAAACGCCGAACATTGATGCGCTCGCCGCCGAGGGTGTGCATTTCTCTAATGCATTTGTTACTACGTCACTATGTTCTCCGAGCCGCGCCAGCATTCTGACGGGGCAGATGATGCACAATCACGGCGTTGTTGATAACAATCGACCTTTACCCGAAGGTCTGGAACTGTTTCCCGCACGTTTACAGGGGGCGGGATATCAAACAGCATTTATCGGTAAGTGGCATATGGGTGGCAGTAGCTCAGAACCGCGACCGGAGTTTGATTATTGGGCAAGCTTTCCCGGGCAAGGCACGTACTACCCACAGAATGCCTTTGGTGGCGTAACGATGCTGAATGTGAATGGCAAACAAGTCGCTCAACAAGGTTACATTACTGACGAACTAACCGATTACCTGGTGGACTTTCTGGAAAACCGGGACACAGCAAAGCCTTTCTTTGCATATCTGTCACACAAAGCAGTACACGCCATGTTCGAACCCGCGGAACGCCATCGGGATCAATACAGCGATGCGGACATTAAGCTGGGAAAGCCTCCGGCGGCAGACGCGGATGTTCCGCTCTGGGTGCTTAACCAGCGCAATAGCTGGCACGGATCTGAATTCCCGTACCATTCCGAACTGCCGCTAGAAGAATTCAAACGTCAGTACCACCGTACCCTTACGGCCGTCGACGACAGCATCGGTAGAGTACGGCAATGGCTTGAGGACAATGCGCTCGCTGACAATACGGTTGTCATATTGATGGGCGACAACGGCTTCATGTTTGGTGAGCACGGCTTGATAGACAAACGTAACGCGTATGAAGAATCTATGCGAGTGCCGCTCCTGGTTGCGGCACCAGGACGGTTCACGGCAGGACAGCAGATCGAGCAAATGGTTGCCAACATCGATATTGCACCTACGATTTTGTCTCTGGCAGGGTTAGCGCCGCCATCACACTACGATGGCATGAGCTTCGCAGAGCTGCCAACTACTACGGAAAAACAATCCAACCCACGCCAGCAGACACCCTGGCGCGTTGCGTTAACCTATGAATATTACTGGGAATTCAACTATCCACAGACACCCACGGTTTTTGCGATACGCACAGATCGCTACAAATATGTGCAATATCACGGCGTGTGGGACACCGAGGAACTTTTCGACCTGGCGTCAGACCCCGGGGAAGAAACCAACCTCATCGAAGATCCTGACCTGCTTACCGTCAAAGTAGAGCTGCGCCAGCAACTCTATGCGTCGCTGACAGATCGCCAGGGGCGCAACACCGTGCCTTATACACAGAAATATAATCAGGGTGCTGTGTTTAGGCATGCGGACCGATCCGAAGCGGCTGAGTATCCGGGTAAGTGGCTACGCCGCGAAGGTGCCGATGATCGTTGGGAGCACATCATTCCAGATGGGCCTGCAAAGGCCGATCGGCTGAAAATTGTGAATGAGGCTTTGAAAGAACGTTAGCAGCCCAGCATGGGCTGCTATGCCAGGGAGTCCCTCAGCCATTCAACCAGCCTGGCATTCACAACATCTGGCTGCTCCTGAGCCATCCAATGGCCACTGTCTACAACATGTTCGGTCAGGCGACTGCATTTCGCGCGCATGGGCTCAGCCAATGTCGACGTCATGGTTTCACAGGTGGTGTCATACCGACCATGCAGAAACAAAACCGGCATTTCCAGATGGGAATTCACCGCTTGGGCGGTGAAGATCGCATTAGCCGCGTGATTCATGTACCAGCTATCGGGACCAAAAAAACTGTTCTCCCGCAGATGATGGGCATAGGTTTGCAGCTCTTCTTCACTGATCACCGAATCGTCTCTGGGCACATCCGGAACCTCCCCGCCATCAAACCAGCCGTTCTGCTGGCGGACCAATGCTGTCACTGAAGGCACGCCCAGATTATCGGGACCACCCGCGCGGAAGAGCGCTTTTGCAACCTTGTCAGGTGCGGAATCAAATGTTGCCGTGGCATCATCAAAATGTTCTTCGTAGAAGCGCATATATTCCCACTGTCCAGCGGGATACTGCGCCAGCGGATATATCCCACGATCTACATGGGGCAGGAATCCATCCCAGCCATGCTCAAGGGTGTCATAGGGCACGCAGAGGTTTGCCACAGCAGCGCATTTGTCTGGATGATGACGCGCCAGGCTCCACACCACCGGAGAACCCCAATCATGGCCGACCCAGACTGCCTGGGTTTTACCCAGACCCTCCAATAACTCAAGCATATCCTGCACAGATTCGCGCAGAGCGTAGTCTTCATGTCTGTCGTAAAGGCTCGATCGTCCGTAGCCACGCATATCAGGCGCCACGGCATAGTAGCCGAGGCTTGCAACCACAGGCAGCTGGTGGCGCCAACTGAGCGATAACTCTGGCCAGCCATGCACAAAGATCACCGCGGGATCCGCAGGATTTCCGGCATGCAGATAACCAGTGGTATGGCGCGGACTTGAGAATGAGCCGGTCTTTATAATACTGGACATGGGATGTTTACCTGTTGCTAGCGATTACGAAGGTCTTTTCTCAGTATCTTTCCCGAAGCACTTTTTGGTATTAAATCAATCACCTCAAGCTGCCTGATCTGTTTGTAACTCACCAGATTTTCGCTGACCAGGGCCTGTATTTCTTCAAGGGTAACCGTTTCACCTGGCGGGGTAGTGACAAACGCTTTAGGGATCTCGCCTGCTTCGTCATCAGGAATGCCGATCAGGGCCACGTCTGCAACTTTCGGGTGTGTGATCAGAAGCGCTTCAAGCTCCGCTGGAGCCACCTGGAAACCTTTGAATTTAATCAGTTCTTTCATGCGGTCAACAATGGACATGTGTCCATGTTCATCAATGATCGCTATGTCACCTGTATGTAACCAACCGTCTGAGTCAATGGTCTCCGCTGTTGCTGTTGGATTGTTAAGATATCCAGTCATCACCTGAGGTCCACGTACCCAGAGTTCACCACGCTCACCAACAGGTTGGTCTTCGCCGGTGTCGGGATCAACAATGCGACTCTCGGTATTGGAGATGGTCACGCCACTGGTACCTGGACGATAATCACCTTCTGGCGTTGAGTGGCTCACCGGGCTGAGCTCGGTCATGCCGAAGCCCTGCACCACTTCACAACCGAGGCGGGCTGCAGCCTGAGCGGCCAGTTCTGCACCAAGCGGCGCCGCACCAGAAAACACCTGTTTGATGGAGGAAGTATCATAATCATCAACGATCGGCGCGTTTGCCAGACCCAGAACAATTGGGGGGACGGCAAAGAATCTTGTGATCTTCAGATCCTGAACCGCCTGCAACGCTTCAACCATGTCGAATCGAGGCATGGTGACTGTTGTAACACCGTTGCTGAGCAACCCATTCATCAACACCTGCATGCCGTAGATATGGAAAAATGGTAATGCCGCCAGCGCAACTTCGTTGTCCTTATAGCGAATCGCGTGCTTACACTGTTCAATGTTAGCCACCAGGTTCCGATGCGACAGCATGACGCCTTTAGGCAGACCTGTCGTGCCGGAGGAGTAAGGCAACACGACGGTGTGGGTTGCCACATCAACCGGTACCTGTTCAATTGGCGCACCAAACACGTCTACCAAAGATGTTGTTCCAGGTACCGCATCTCCAATCACAATCACCTCAGACACCTGGGTGCCTTCAACCGCCGCCAGCGCTGTCTCGGCAAACATAGGCACAGTGACCAATATGGATGCGCCGGAATCATTTAGCTGGTGCCTGACTTCCTGGGGACCGTAGGTTGGGTTGATGGTGCTCACCGCGGCGCCGGCAACCGCCACGCCGTGAAAGACAACCGCATATTCCGGCAGGTTTGGCGCCATCAAACCAACAACGCTACCCGGAGCGACCCCTCGCGCAGCCATGCCACCGGCCAGCGAAAATATGGCGTCGCTGAGCTCTGCGAAGGTGTAGACGCTGGTGCCAGCGGTATCGCGAATGGCAACCTGGTTCGCAAGCTGTTCTGCTCTGCGCAGCACGTGCGCAGTGATTGTTACGTCGGGGATATCAACATCGGGCAGCGGGCTTGAGTGAATAATTTGAGGCATAAGTCATCCGTAGCGTTAAAGCATGCAGTTGGAAAGCGTCTAATTTAAAGGATATTCCCAGCGACGGCGAGGCCTATACAGACCATTGAACCAGAGCACCAGGCCAACTACATAGTTCCCCAACCTGTTCTGTCTTAGATAAGTAAAACAATTTTGCTTCTGCTACAGTCGAACCATCCTGGGGGGGAGAATTAACATTGGCAGATGAAACAGGCCGCGGCCTGCACGCGGCTCAGCCGTTCTGGAAATCCAGATACACCATCATTCTGATGTGCTTTGCAGCGACCTTCGTCTGCTACATTGATCGGGTAAATATTTCGGTCGCCATTATTCCTATGGCCCAGGATCTCGGCTGGGACGTCGCCACCCAGGGCGCTGTTCTGTCCTCGTTCTATATCGGTTATTTACTGATGCAGATTGGTGGCGGCCGTTTAGCT